CTGCTTCCATCAGCTGCTGCATGAAGGCTCTGGGATGGCATATAAGGTAGTCATCAATCTCATTATGAGGGAAGGACATTTAAGCTAGCCCTTACACTATTGTTTAGATTGTTAATTGGGGTCATCTTTTTAGATTTCTGGACATTTCCCTAGTGCCAGATTTCTCTATAAACCTATGCTGGATCCCTCTATTATGGTATCTCTTTTCTTGCTCTGCTCCATTCTTCCCCTGACTCAATCTTTCTGCTCCCCCATGTCCTTTTCTCCCTTCTTCTTTGTCCTAACTTACTGTCCCCTTGCCCCATGGTTCCAATTTGCTCAGGAGATCTTGTCCCTTTCCCTTTCTCCAGGGGAACATGTATGTCTCTCTTAGGGTTCTCCTTGTTTCGAATTTTAAGATTCCATTTTTTTCTGCTGAGTAGTAATCCATTGTGTAAATGTATCACATTTTCTTTTTTATTTTCTTCAGCTGAGAGACATCTAGGTTGCTTTCAGGTTTTTGGCTATTACAAATAATGCTGCTATGAAGATAGTTGAACACATGTCCTTGTTGTATGAATGTGCATCTTTTGGGTATTTGCCTAAGAGTGGAATTGCTGGATCTTGTGGTAGACTGCTTCCCATTTTCCTGAGGAAATGCCATACTGATTTCCACAGTGACTGTACGAGTTGTATTCTTCCACTAGCAGTGGAGGAGTGTTTCCCTTTCTCCACATCTTCTCCAGCATAAACTGTTGTTGGTGTTTTTTTTATTTTAGACATTCTGACAGTTCTTACATTTGAATTTTAGAACAGGATTCTCAATTTCCATTTGACTGTAAGGATTTGTATTCAAATTTTTTGCACCTTTTAAACCTAGGTAAAATGTTATAATTCTGGGTTCTCTCTCTGCATTTTCTTTAGCTTTTTCAGGTCCATTTGGGATTTTTGAATTTATTGTAATGCATTCATTTTTCTTATGTCCCCTTGTTGTTGTCTGTTTATCTAAACAAATACCAAAGATGTATGTGAATTTTTTGTGAGTCTTTATTTTTATTATCTTTATTTTAACTTGGATGCTAATCTTTAAGGGCCTTTTATTTTCTTCTAATAGGCTCAGTAGAAGGAAATAGAAGAGTGTCAATGTCCTGCTGGGCTTTAGAGACAGCATTTTTTTTTAATTGGGTTGAGCTCTGAAGGGAGAAAGGTGTTGGGAAGAAACAAGCAACTTCACAAGAGAAGAAAGTGTTGGGGTTTTTCAGGCTGTGAGGAGGAGAAAAAATCCCCAACGCATCTGGATCAATTATTAACTTATTTCTTTTTAGTTTTTAAGATTTATTTATTTCACAGTTCTAAGACAACTTACAAACTCTATATATTCAGTGCAACATATCTGTTTTTAAATTAGTAAAGTGTGAAGAGGGGAGATTAAATTTAGACTCCTAAGACATCAGGGAGAAATGCAATGTATCAAAATGAAGGTCATTAACATTTTGCATAATGATTAAAGCAAAGCTGTATATGTAACATGCCCAATGACCAAAATAAGTAGGGGGAATGAATGAGTTTTAAGATTCCTGTTGTTATGAAGATGTAATCTACTCAGGAAATCAGACAATTTCTAGAGTGTTAAGGTCTGGACAACTATTTTCCCACTGACCCTTCTCATACATACTATACTGAGATAAAGTAGGGTGAATCTTCAGTAACATCTTAATAATAAATAGTGGCTACCTATGAAGTGTCATAATAAAACATTATTGTTATATAATTGATACATCATACTAATAAAATGAAAAGAGTAATATCACATGATTTCTTATAGTATGCTTTCATCTAATCGGAAAGTATAATTTCAGAGCAAAATCTAGTGGGATTGTACTGGTGGAAGCATGCTTAACACTAGAATTAAAGTACCCAAACTCACATCATGAGTCAAGAGTAACGTCTTGGCTCTTAAGCAGACCTTGCTAATTCAGTGGTGCCTTCTATCCAAAAAACAAAAGCAAAAATTCCATGGGGGTTTATAACCAATTAGAAAGTGCATATTCCAGTGAATGCTATATAAGTTAAAAGAAAAACCACAGTGAACATCCAACCAAATATTTCTTTTATGACTTGAATACATTTGCAAGTTCCACAGGTGAGAAGAGACCTTGAGCATTGTTTTGTTCACTGCTGCATCATCAGCTCTTCACATGCTGTCTGGTGCCTACTAAACGTTCACTACTTAACATTTGAGGAATAAATGCATGAGAAAATGAATGAGGTAAACCTGTAAGTGGCTTGTTTTTTGCAGGGTGGTTTTTGCATAAATATGCAGTACATAGAGATTCTTTTTTCTCAGCAGGACCCTGAAAAGTGAGCAGATCTTTTCTTTGACCCATTAGAAACAGACCTGCATATATTGTAAAAGCAAGTTGTTAGCTACTCAAGCAAACTAAGAAATCTAAGGCTTAGCACTGAGGCTTCAGGGTTTTCGGGTGCTCAGATATAATATGACACTACTGTTATTGGCTTTTTCTCTCTGTATTTTGAGGATGTTAAATTCAGTACATGTTGAAATGTTTATACAGTTCTTTAAGGAACATTCACATGTACCTGGCTCATGACTCTTGTGACCTCATGATGTTTCTATGATGTTTCTAGCCCATGACTACCTGTTACATCTCACCAAGCTAACCAGTTTCTTACTTTATTTCATTCTGCAATAGCCTCCTTTTCTCTTTGTTTTCCTTGTCTACTTTTCTTATCCACATTGAGGTCTATGCTTTATAATGTGGGGATTAATAACACCCAGTGATTGCAGTTTGAAATGTAGATTCCACTACTGTCTAAAACATTCTCCGAATTATCTCTGTGGATGAGTTGTTGTATGGTTTTAAGGAGGTAACCTGTGTAATGTGCATAAGTGGTAAATGTCACTCATCATAATTATTCTACCAGAATGCCTTGTCTAAAACCTAAATGCAACCCTGCCCATCCTTTGATTAAATTTTCAGTGCTTTCCAGAAGTCTAGATGATATCCTCACTTCCTTTCACACCCCCAATCACACACCATCACTTCCTTCTTACCCCCCCTTTATAAGGGATCTCTTCTGCACTCAGTTACACAACTAAATTTTCCCTAAAAAAGGATCCCCCTTCCTGCTCTGGCAAAAAGTGTTGTCATCCCTCTATTTTATTTCTCCTCTGCAATAATTTCTAATGTCTCTTGCTATAATCATAATTCTTCAGTTTACACAGACTATATAAAGATGCATTGATTTTTTTGCTTGTGTTTATAAGTATTTTGTGAATTTCTCTAGGCCAGAAAAACTCTTAAGCTAGCTCCAAGTCTCAGAATACCTAGTATATAATGAAATATTTGCCATTTAACAAAGGAACACGAACCTAGTCCAGAGTCTCCAACAGCCTAACATTTTTCATAATATTTATTGAATTGAATTTATCAATTTCCCTTTATTTCAAAGGAGATTGGCTGATCCAGTGCTTCTTCCTGCTGCCTACTGCGGGTTAGACCTGGGATGTTCAGGGTTCTGCTTATAGATTGCCACCAGGAGCTAGCATACTGGCAATTATAAGCAAGAAGATTTGCTGACTAAAAGCTGTAAGATTTGCCAGCAAAGGGCCTAGAAAAATTATTTTCTGCCAGAGTTGCCCCATCCTTGTTTTATTCACTTCCCATTCCAAATCTACCAACGGAAAGGAGGCAGAAAGGTAAAGAGAAGTGCATTTAAAAGTTGGGCCAGTTCTCCCTCTCCTCCAACCCAGAGAAACACTACAGCAAGCTTGCTACCTTCTAAGCTACCTCAGAAGAGGACAAGATTCACAGCTGCCCAAACCTGTCCTGAGTCCCCGTCGTCCCCCCACTGGTTTTCCAGTTGTTGCTGCCCACTCCCCATCTCCAGCATCCTCCCCACCTCTTCTAGTGGCAACCAGAGAACCGCCTCCAGACTTCTTGTTCTAGGACCTCCGTGATTATCAACAAAAGATTCCAATCAGACAGCCTTAGCCGCATCATTGAAAGCCCAGTTTAAAAAAAAAAAACCCGAAAAGAAAAGAAAAATCAGGTTTAGGATACAAGGAAAAGGAACGCAGCAGCAAACCACAGCGCAGAAAAGCTGGGTGCACACAGGCACGTAGGCTCCCCTGCATGGAGACAGCAGGTTGTAACCAACTACCCGGAGAACACGGAGCACCCCAGACAGGAACTTTAAACGGATTGAAATCTGTTGCCTGTTCCACTAGGAATATTGTTTGCAAGGCACAAGGTGTCTTTTGGTAGTGAGTGCCCTCTGCGCATGCGCAGGTCCATTCGGGAATTACTGCTCAGCCGCCGACTAAGTTGCATTCCTTGAATCTTCGCAGAAAAGACAATTCTTTCATCAGAGTTAGTAATGTGGACAGTACAAAATCGAGAGAGTTTGGGGCTTCTTTCTTTTCCTGTGATGGTTGCCATGGTTTGTTGTGCACACAGGTGAGCTGCCTTCTCCAATCTCTCTCTCTCCTTTTTTTCTTGGTGTTTTTCTTTTGCTTTTTTCTTTTCTTTTCTTTCCCGTGCCTGTTGGATCATGTACCTTGTTATTTGGGGGTAGGTATGCCTGGGTCTTTTTATGTCTGTTTGCAGTTTGTGCTCAATCTGAATACAGTCCTTACTTCTTCCCTTCAGCTCCAGTGAACCCAGCAACATGTCATACGTGAAAGAGACAGTGGACCGACTGCTCAAGGGATATGACATTCGCTTGAGGCCGGACTTTGGAGGTAATGCTTCATCATTTTCCTTTCAACCTGTAACCCATCCCTAGTTCCCCTTTTCCGTCAGAGATAATGCTCCCTTCCCCATTTAACCATTTCTGTAAACGTGCAGTACTACGCCCAGGACACACACACACACACACACACACACACACACACACACACACACAGGATCCCCAGTCTCAGGTGGACATATCATCAGGCTGACTTGTCACTCTCCTTAACCCGACACACCCTCTGCACTGTCACCGCATCACGCGTGTGCCCACACCTGTTTTCCCAAGCTGTCCCCTACAACAGGGATGGGGGGGAGGGAGGGAGCCTGTTTAGTCTGCAATAAGATCTGGGAAGCCCCCTATGACCCCTCAGCCCCCTGCCACTCAAAGACTGTCTTTACTGTGATCATCCTCCCTGGCAGGGCCCCCGGTGGACGTCGGGATGCGGATCGATGTCGCCAGCATAGACATGGTCTCGGAAGTGAACATGGTGAGTGGCCTCTCCATGGCTCGGCGGGCCGCCGAGCTTACGCAGATGCGAAATGGACTCGTTCTCTGTCCTCTGCTTTTCATTGGTGGTCACCTCGGCCCTGGTCCCTAGGGTCCCACTCCGCGCGTACGCCCCACTCCAGTATACACACTGTCCATCATCCCGCAGTTTGTATTTTCGACACACACACGGGCTACTGCGGTGTTCCGAAGGAGACGTACTCCGCACTATTTTGGGAAGGAAGAGGGGCTGTTGCGCTGGTGGATTGGCTGGGGCGGAGTCTGAGCCTTACTTTAGCCGGGTCTCCCTGAGTGTGGGGATGTGCAGGGCACCATCTGCCGGCAGCAGGTAGCCTGCACTGGGGTCCCCGGGACCAGGGGTTTGGGTTCGCAGCCACAGCCAGGCCAGGCACCATCCCCACAATCTTCACAGATCCCGCAGCCTGCTAGCCGCAACCCACACAGCCCAGTCACCTAGCTAGCATGGCAAAGCATTCTACTGTCCCCCTCCCTACTACAGAATCTATCACGGTGTTTGCAGGAGCAACAGGCTGAGATGAACAGTCCAGGATTGCTAACAGCAGAAGTGCACAAGCTTGCTTCTGGGCATCTTATACCCATGCAAGTGAGGGGGCATGCTTTTGTCTTTCTGAAGCTTGCAAGTTTTAAGTTGGAAGAGAATCAGTCGAATCAAATGACTTTGCTGTATTCCAGTAACCTAGGTGAGAGGAAAAGATCCGATGGTTAAAAGGACTGAGGCAGGAGATGGGTGAATTAGAATTGTCATTAATATTAAGGCATCTACATTTGTAATCCCTTCCTCCTTCCCTTCCCCCTCTACTCATCATCATTTACTATCTTTTCTCTGGGCAATTGTAAAAAGTATTGAAGTCATGGCTTCTACTTGAGCTATTAGTTGTTTCAATCCACCCTGGGAGGCCGTTTTCGAGTTGTTCAGGGTGAAAGAAATAAATGCCTGTTGCTTTTCTAGAACTCACCATGCAGGGAACAAATGGATCTACAGAAACAAAATGTCATTTTTATTCCACCCTGGAAAAAATTACAGCAACAGAAATTTAGATATACCGAGTAACTTAGACTAGGGTCCTTTAGGGTTTTCTCCATCTCAGTCTGTAACAGATATTGAATTGCTGTTCATTTCATTCCTAGTGGGCCATTTTATTATAATACACAGAGGCTTAAGAATTTTCCTTTTCATCTTTTAGATTACATCAGGAAACAATAAATATGTTTATAGATCATTCAATGGATGGTATAAGTATAAAATTTGTGGCTTTTGGGGCAGGGTTGTAACTCTTACTGTCTTAAATGGCTTATTTAAAATACCATTTTATAACAGCTCAAACTGTTTCAAGTAATATTTATCAAGTTTTTTGAATACTACATAGAAAAAGCCATTTTTTTTCAAATTTGATGAACAAGTTTTACTTAGCAAAGACTTTTAACATAAGAATGTTCTGTTTACATGTGTGCAACTATTTACAAACATCCAGAGGTGCTTGATAAGATGTGCATGCATAAGAACAGTGGCCTATGACTGCAAATGCAACCAGATATATTGGCTTGACAATTAGTGTCAATGCACATCCATTGATAATATTTTCCTGTTCAGTCATTTGTCTGGCATCTTGTAAGATTATTCATAGATCATTCATATATAGAGATTCAGAAATCTCAGAAGGCAAATTGTGCCTCTGTAAATGATTTATGTCACTGTAATAGGGTACTTAGCTTTCCAGAGCTACAAGGACTTCCAATATCAAATACAGTCACACATATATGGGTATGCATGCACACAAGTCCACACACATACACAAGTCTATATACATAGGTTTTTTTTTTACAAACATTTAAAACTTAATTGAACATTTAAGTTGCATAACCATAACAATGACCACAAGCAAAAGCTCTGTCGGGTCAGTTGTTGAAATGGATTCATAGGCAAGCTGAGAAGGACCACATGCAAGATGCAGTAGCATAGAACACCTCCTCTGAATGAGTGGATAATACTGTGACTGCTTGCTCACTATGATACATGCACTTGCTGTGTCTTTTAAATAGTCACTCAATAGATTAGGCTTTGATAATGCTGTATCCCAAAATACTCATTGCCTTTTACTGTGACATCAGAGACATAGGAGAATTGTGATCAACAAAAGCTGGAAAATGAGAAAACTTGCTTTGTGTGTTCGTTTCCTTCTAATGAGAGTACTGACAAGACTCAGGTTTATTTTAGTGTCTCATCTATGGCAATTTTTGACATGGGTTAATTACAATGAAAACAGCTAAGGGTAATGGAAATACGGTGGATGGGGGGGTCTTTTGAAGGGTGGAGAGGGCGCCATGTAGATTAAGGATAGTTGGTCCTACCCATAACCTCTACCAAGAAGAGACCACTCTGCAATGTGCTTTGGACACTGTACGTGGGAATAAGGGTCTTTAGGAAATAAGACCCATAGCTTGTTATCAAGCACTCTTCTGTAATGTGATGAGCACCAACTTACCTGTTATTCTATGATAGGGAAATTTCTATAAATTGAAAACAAATTAGAATTGACAATAAAATAACACAACTAGTATTCAATGAAAATGCAAGTTAAATGCCTTACTGCAACATTGCTAATGTTCACATTTTTAGTCATTATTGTTATTGCTTATTCTATAGCTGGAAACATGGCATGGTAATTATGTATTAAATTAATGGGTTAGAGAACTAGGACTCTATTAACTTTTGTCCTTTTTGTGTTAGTCTAAGTAAAATATGTTTCAAAATTGATTTATAATATTGCCTACTTTTAAGGCTAATATCATATCAGGACTTCTTTCTGACTAATGTCCTTCAGGAGATAAAATGTGTTTCCAAAATTAAGAAAAGGAAATTGTTATGGTAAAGAATATGCAGCAGAAACCCTAAGATTTTTCAATACATTACTGTGCAGAACTGGTATATTTTTATGTATTGGTTATAAATTAAGTAAAAGAAAAGAAAAATAATTAATTAGCTCTGATGAGTGAATTAATAACCTTTAGAAAATAATTTTATGTAGAAAGACATATAATACATACACACATATTATATATAATTGAAAGTTAGACTTCTTTATGACATTAATTATTATTGGTTCAAAAAGAACATTTTTTTCTCATTATGGACTTTGTGGTGATGTAACAGTAACCACATAGTGTTATTATTTTCTAAAGTCTTATATAGAAAAATATTTTCCACAGCTTCCATTTATTGTATATTGAACACTTCAAATCTTTTAATTTTACAATTTCTATGAAGCTCTACATGCAATCTCTCTCTCTCTCTCTCTCTCTCTCTCACACACACACACACACACACACACACACACACACACAATATCCATGGCTCACTAGAATAGGAGGCAGGCAAAATTAAAGGAGGTAAGAACTCCCAGCAAATAATATAACCACCAAATAATATAATCAGCAAATAAAATAACCACCACCATCTGCTTAGTTAAAGAGGCAGTAGCAGACAGACATTCTCTCTTTGAGTAGTATCTTGGAGAAACATGGTGTAGCCTATAAGCAACCAAGGAGCTATGCTTTACTATTCAGATGTCCACAAGCTGTCCCTTCTCATGCAAGAGCCAGATGCAAACATTAAGATGCAATTCCAAATACAGTTTTCTTTCCTCAAGCTAAAGACATGATGGTCTGAGTGTGCAGAAGACTGCACCTGTAGATCTATGACTCAAACTAAAACACAGTAAAAGCCATTTCTAGTAAGAGTATCCTCACTGCTGTCTTCACTGTTCTGCAAGTGCAGTGGTGAACTCTCTTATAGGATTCACAAATAGCTTCAACAATGACAAGAATGAAAAACACACAATTGTATAAATAATGCATAAAACAAAGTAAGCCAAACAGATATCCATTTATATACCATACTGTTGCTATTTTAATATTAGAGTCCATTGGTTCTTGGTACATCATCCAGCTAAGTTTAACTGTCATCACTGTGGTGACTTAAGACAAGAACCACTTGTCAGAATTTCTCTCTGCAATAACCCTTCTTCTATGTCCCAGCTTCTTAATCTTAGGGGTATATCTAAATCACCCTGAGGCTCAAAAATTCAAATTATGAATCTGAGATTTGAGATGGGGGTTTGATATTCTATATTTCTCCTGTAAGATGCCAGTTGCTGGTGTGCAGACAGTAATTTGAATATCAAAGTTGAAGAATATTATTCAAATGTACTCTTTAAAAGAAGAAAACTTTTTCTTTGTGATTTTCTCTAGGAGTAGCAGTATGTCAATATTTTATGTTAAGTTTTAAGTTACTTACTAGTTCATATACTAGGTAACAGTACTCAAAGGGAAGATTACTTCCATAATTAAAGGTAAATAGGATTCAAAGAGAAGAGCCTAAAAGATGTGGTTCATGGAAAACTGAAGTCTTCCTATATCAACACTTGTTAGTCAGCTAAGTGGGGAGAAAAAATGTCAAGTACAATAGCATATATTAATATTATATATATTGAGTCAAGAACATAACAACATAATCCTTTCCCCCATAGATTACCCTTTACTTTGATGCTTCACAATACAGAACACTGAGACTGTTTTCTTGTACCAAGTAGCTAGCAATAGCTGTGAAACAAAATAGTCCAAATCTATTCTTGCTGATGTCAATTAATTCTCTTGAGTTATAATAGAATTTCCTTTGGAAATGAAGACAATAGGTCAGTACCAATTAACAGCTGGAACACATACCAGCAGATAAATAAACAGATAGACAGCCCTTTCTCTTACATGAAAACTAACCAGGGTCCTGCTTTTAGGTTCAGTAATAGAATATACTATCTGAGAGGGAAACTGTTTTGTCTCTCTGTTTGGAGATAACAGGTATTTTTATGCCTTAAATCACATAAAAAACAGACTATCTACATGTTACAGTGTTGGAGTTAATATAAGAAAGCTAGAAATTGTAGGACTGCAGGACCAGATAGG